ACCCTATAGAATGGCACCGTTGGAGTTAAGGGAGTTACAAACTCAGTTACAGGAGTTGCTAGACAAAAGTTTTGTTAGGCCTAGTGCCTCACTTTGGGGAGCACCTGTGTTGTTTGTGAAGAAGAATGATGGGTCTATGAGATTGTGTATTGATTATAGAGAACCGAACAAAGTCACAGTGAAGAATAGGTATCCTTTGCCATGTATTGATGACCTATTTGACCAATTGCAGGGAGCTTAGGTATTCTCTAAGATGGACTTGAGGTCAGGCTATCACTAGTTGAAGGTAAGGAATAAGGATGTTCCTAAGACAGCTTTTAGAATCCGTTATGGGCATTATGAGTTCTTGGTGATGCCTTTTGGTCTCACAAATGCACTAGCCGCATTCATGGATTTGATGAACAGAGTATTCAAACCCCAACTAGATAAATTTGTGGTAGTATTTATTGATGACATCCTAATTTATTCGAGGAGTAAGAAGGAGCATGAGCAGTATTTGAGGGTAGTACTGCAGATCCTTAGGGAGAAGAGACTGTATGCAAAATTTAAGAAGTGTGAATTCTGGTTGAGTAGTGTATCCTTTTTGGGTCATGTAGTGAGTTAAGATAGGGTATCTGTGGATAGCACGAAGGTGGTAGAAAATCGTTGATTGGCCGCGACCTACTTTTGTGATAGAGGTACGTAGCTTTTTAGGGCTTGCTGGATATTATAGACAGTTTGTGGAAGGATTCTTCCGTATTGCTTTGCCATTTATAAATCTCACTAGGAAATAGGTAAAGTTTGAGTGGAATGATGATTGTGAGTGTAGCTTCTAAGAGTTTAAACAAAGGTTGATATCAGCTCCAATCCTTGCCTTACGTACAGGTGGTGGTAGTTTTGTGATTTATAGTGATGCTTCACGATAGGGTTTTGGATGTGTGCTCATACAACATGGGAAGGTGATTGCTTATGCATCACGATAGTTGAAAGTACATGAGAGAAATTATCCTACGCACGACTTGGAGTTAGTAGCAATGGTTTTCGCTCTTAAGATTTGGCGACATTATTTATGGAGAGTCATGTGAGATTTACACTGATCATAAGAGTTTGAAGCATATTTTCACATAGAAAGAACTAAATTTGAGGCAAATAAGATGGCTTGAGTTGCTAAAGGATTACGATGTGAATATTTGGTATCATCCGGGGAAGGTAAATGCGGTGACAAATGCCTTGAGTAGGAAGGTCGCAATTGGAGATGTAGCTGCTTTGTCTATTGAGAGTTGTTTGGTGGAAGACATGAGACGTTTGAGGCTTGAGGTTGTTACACCTGGTGATAGGGATTATTGTAGTCAATTGGCAGTTTAGCCGACCTTGAGAGAATGGATTCGTTTAGCTTAGCAGATTAACCTCCAATGTAAGCGTATTAAAGGAGAGATGACAGAGGGTAAGTATGTAGACTTTGTGGTTAGTGATGACGGGTTGCTTAGATTCCGTAGCCGAATTTGTGTTTCTGTTGGTAGTGATTTGAGGAAAGAGATTATGACGGAGGCACATAGTTCTAGTTACAGCATTCATCCTGGAAGCACTAAGATGTATCGGGATCTTCATGAGCATTTTTGGTGGAATGGTATGAAAGGAGATATTGCAGAATTTGTGGCTCAGTGTTTAGTGTGTCAACAGGTTAAGGTAGAACATCAGAAACCTGCGAGGAAACTACAACCCTTACCTATACTAGAGTGGAAGTGGGATCATGTTACCATGGATTTCGTGTGCGGATTACCTCGTACTAGTAGTAATCACGATGCAGTTTGGGTAGTTGTGGATAGATTAACCAAGTCAGCACATTTTATTGCAGTTCAAATGAACTATTCTCTAGCTCGATTTGCACAGTTGTATGTGAAGGAGATTGTTAGATTGCATGGTGCACCTGTGTCAATAGTGTCAGATCGGGACGCTCGTTTTGTGTCTAAGTTTTGGGGTGCGTTACAGTCAGCTATAGGTACTCGGTTAAATTTCACTCTCAGACAGATGGGAATCAGAGAGGACTATTCAAACCCTTGAGGATACGTTGAGGGCTTGTGCTTTGGAGTAGAGAAGTAATTGGAATGATTATTTGCCGCTCATGAAGTTTGCCTATAATAATAGTTATCATTCTAGTTTGGGAGTAGCTCCTTATGAGGCTTTGTATGGGAGGAAGTGTAGGTCTCCTTTGTGTGGGTATGAGGTTGGTGAAAGACAAATGTTGGGACCTGATTTGGTGGAGGATGCTACATGAAAAATTATCACCATCAGAGAGAGATTATTGACTGCTCAGAGTAGACAAAAACGTTATGCTGATCATCGTAGGAGAGATTTAGAGTTTTATGTGGGGGATATGGTATTCTTGAAAGTATCACCATGGAAAGGAGTGATCAGGTTTGGAAAGAAAGAAAAGTTGAGTCCTAGATACATTGGTCCATTTGAGGTATTGGAGAAGGTTGGTGAGGTTGCGTACCGTGTTGCTCTACCCCCTAGGTTGGCAGGAGTGCATAATGTGTTTCACGTGTCTATGTTGAGGAAATATGTGCACAATCCGTCGCATGTGATAGATTATGAGCCGCTTCAGATTAGAAAGGATTTTTCGTATGAGGAGATACCTGTTCAGATTTTGGATTCGAAAGAGAAAAGGTTGCGTACAAAGGTCATTAAATTGGTTAAGGTATTGAGGCGTAATCATCTAATTGAAGAAGTGACTTGGGAACGCGAGAACGAGATGTGCGAGAAGTACCCACATCTATTCTCATGATTTACTCAGGTTAGTTTCAAGAACGAAACTTTTCTTTTAGGAGGGGAGAATGTGAGAACCTGAATATACAAATCAAGTAAATAATTAAATAATAATAATATTACAATCCCAAATATTTTGGTGATAAATCCTAAAGTACAAATTAAATATTTGGAAGGTCTTTTAATTAATTTTTAAACCTAAAATAAATTTATGGTGAAAGTATTTAATTTAGAGGCAAGATTTATTATTTAAAAAAAACAAATAGAGGGTAAGTTTGTAAGTATATTTTGTTATATTAATAGTTATATTTTATTTAAATTAATGGGTTAGAAAATAAAATAATATAAAGAGATAATAAACTAGAGCCTTTTGTTTAGATACATAACCCTAGGTTGCCTAATACATTCTATAGCAGCAGCAGGAGGTAGCCACAGGGAGAGAGAGAGATTGAAAAAAAAAGAAGACGAAAAAAAAGGGGTTGCAAAGAAGGATGGATTTTTGGGTGTGTACTGGGTCTTTATCTTTCTTCTTCCTTAAGGTTTTGTTCTTTATCCTTACTCTATGATTATTTAGTTCATTGATGGAGATGTTGTAGGTTTATGTATTGTGTATATAGATATCCTATTAAGAAACTTGAGGAGCTAAATTTATGTGTAAAGATTGGGTGTAATTTTTAGTCCAAAAATTCTACACAGAATCACAAACTTTAAAAATCAAGAAAACATATCAAACGGATGAATTTTAATCTGAAATTTTTACGGTAGATTAATTACATATTGAATTGCATATCTGAATTTTTTCATAATTTTTGGGAGTCAAAATCCATATAAACTGATGTGTTTAAATCTGTCCAGAAAACTGGTTTTTAACAGTAAATTCGGGAGTGTTGTTCTCTTTGGGTATAAATCCAAAAATTATCAAATCAGTGTCATTAGAACCGGTTACGAGTCTAGTTTCTTAAATTTTTTTACTTGCGTTGATTTCTCGTGTATATTAAGAGAACCGTCAATTTCTTTAAAGTGCTGCAGAAAACAACCTGTTTCGATATAATAAATTGTAGATAATTATTTTGATAAGAAAATCAAGTGAAACCAATTGGGTTTGAAACTTAGGATATCTTAGTTGATATTTGGAGGTTTTTTGGAATTTTTCGAATAGCGTGGAGTGGGTTTTGTAATTTTCAAAGTTAGCGAATAGATTGGGAAAACTTGTTTAAAACACTGTTTTATCTTAAAGTTATTTTTAGTTAAGTTTCGATCGGAACCTATGTCTTGAGTGATTTTAGACCTTGAAGAACATGAACTTAGGTAATATTTAAGAGTAACGGTGAGTTGGGTTGAGCCGTGTTAGTGCGCTTTAGTTTGGGGTTACTTAGTTCGTATTCTTTAGTATTTTTAAATTAGTAGTGACGTGTAGTTTTCATATCGGTTCAGGGCATTAGTTGGAGTTTCATACTCTATTCGAGGATTATATTATTTCGTTTCCAGGTGAGTAGTTTCATGTTACATATTTTTGTAAATGTTCCCCTACCCTGAACTGTTGGAAAATTAAATTGTTGTTTCATGATTAAACTGTTTTGATAAATTATTATATTATTAATGGAATCAAATTGTTTCTGAAACAACGTGTGAACTTGGCATATTGTAAACTATTTGTTTTGGTCTCATGTTTATAATGATGAACTACCATATTTTGCGAAACTGATGTGTATTGATTATTGGGGCCATATGTGTATTTAGTCCAGGGAAATTATTCCACTATGTGTGGTGACTCTGGCCACTAGGGAACCTATCCGGGTTGGGCCGTGATGACTCTAGTGCTCAACGATTGCAAGGAAAAGACATTTAAAAACAGCTAGGTGACCTTCAATCGGATCGTCTTTGAGAAAAAGCCCAGGTGCCACCCTGAGGATGACTCTTAGTTCGGTATTGCATCCAACGGAGCTTATAGCCTTGAGAACTGTGTGACATATTATTTGTTTTTCTTGGTACCCAGAAAATTATTGGTGTTCATGTTATAATCTGTTTTAAGTGGAAAATGTCATTAATCATGTTCTTACGAGACATGAGTATTTTAAGTGTTGAACTGTGGAACCTTCTTTTTGAAACAGATTGCATTTACGAAATTGTATGCCAATCTAGTTTCTGTGATATATATCTTATTTTGGAATTGAACTATGTTTTCAAAACTGTATTTACTATCCATATTGCTACTCACTGAGCTATCAGCTGACTTAGTTGTTTACCATTTCCAGGTGTTACAAGGACTTAAAGTGGACTCGTGGCGTAGCAGTGACTCAATTGCATGGACCTCTAGGGCATTTATTTAATATGTTTTAGGTTGCTTTGTCGAGTTTTGTGCATACATTGTGGTTGGGTTTTATTTAGAATTATTTTATTTTGTGGGCGGTTTGTGTCCCATTTAGTATATATATATTTTTAGGAAGTTGGTTATGACTTGTTTTTCACTTGTGGTATGTCACTGGATTGAGTGTTGATTTATTTATTTCTGGGCTATCATCACATTTATTCTTTATGGTTTTGGATTCATGTTTAGGCTTACGTGTGCCTTGGGCTAAGTCCCTGTGGGCCACGGCCGGTCATACCCTGGGGTGTGACAATTTACATAGAAATCCAACTGATCGCTATCAATTTGAAAACTAAAACCAAATCCTAACAAAGCAAACTGATAAAAGATTACATTGGACACCAGGCGCATAAAGCACATCATGGAGGAGTAAGGTGCGCCCTAGACGCGTGTTGAGCTGATAAGAACTAACTCCAAGGACATCCTCACGAGTTCCATTACCCAAGGCAACAAACTACCTGCCAACAGGTATCTTTTTGTAATCCACGAACCCAACTCTTTCTCTGGTTATGTAGTGGGTTGCTCATGAGTCTACAATCCAACCATGGAGAGAATTAGAAACACATACATGTGAACAAACACATGTATTGAAAGAGTTAAGGAAAAGGTTTATCTTCTTTGCATCAGGGCATTCTCGAGTAAAATGACCTAGCTTCCCACAGTTATAGCACTTGACTTTGGTTTTATCTTTGTTTCTAGAGTGCTTGCCTCGACGACGTTTCATCACATTACCTTGGTTAGCACCAAGGCTACCAGCTGCACCACTATGTCTTCCTTGTTTATTGCGCTTAGGCTTGAATGCCTTACGCTACCCATCTTGAGCGACAAGGACAGTGCTGTGGTACAACCCGATGTGCTCTGCTTCAAGCTCATGGTGGCTAGAAATATCAGCAAAATTCTTGATATTCTCATTGTGTGTAAGCATAAGTTTCATTTGCCCTATAAATCAAGCAAAGAACGTATCACAGCTGTAACCTGCTGCTCATTAGTAAGAATATTGCCAGTAGTCTTTAAATCACGTATCATGGCTGACATAGTTTTGAGATTTTCAACCATTTACTGATTCGGATCCATAGCATATTGCCCAAATTTCAAAATTAGAGCATGCAACCTAGTTACAGATGTGGTCCTATAAAGTAGTGGGGCTCACCTCAAACTCCTCAATGAGATTATTGTGCATGTTGCTAAGCATAGTATAGTGCGCGCACCGATCTCTCCAGACCCATTTATCATATTTTTCCATGTCACAGCGATATTGGGCAGTGGTCCCTTCTTCAAGACAGATCATAAGGGTAGTCAAAGTATCTAAGACTTCTCGTTCATTAAGCAAGTATTGAATTTTTTGATGCCACATATCATAATTGGACTCATCTAATTTTTCTCCTTTGGTGAGGTCAACAATAACATTCTTAGAGGCCATTTCACTGATGGTATTGCACCGGGGTTGACATTAGCACATATTTTTTAATTTTAAATTTATTCCCAAAAACACAATTGGCATACAATATTTCCACTGACATAGAGAAATCAAAATTTTCTCTAAGCTCATAATTATATCCCTCTATATGAGTTAAAATATAACACCTAATTAATTTTTTTAATAATATTATATAAGAGGCAAAACCATCTCTTAAATCCACAACATGAAACCATGTACAATATGTGACGTTCCAAATTCTACTCTAAAAATTGAAATCAATGTAATGTCACTACAAAGTCCTTTTGGTCATACCAAGTAAGATCCCAGAATGGTCAGAAAAGTCAATATAGCCTCCTTTCTAAGTCCAACCACCTTAGATAGTATAACTATCTTTTTGACAAATGTTCAGAGGTATTAGCATAAGGTCTCATAAGAAATGTAAAGATAAAACATCCCCTTAACTTTTCGTTGCTTTAGGCAGAGTTGTGATTGAAGAGGGATAATAAACAAAGTTACAATACCAAAATGAGTCATCAAAATATACACAATAATTAATCAACAGTGCTGGGGCCCCCAACACCTCCACCTCCACACTGTGAGAGCAAGAAAAAAAAAAATTGAACCAATCAAAAAACAGTGGAGGTGGTGGGGGTCACTCCCACTGGGGGTCCAAGGCATTTTTGATAATTAATATGATAAGAAAAAAATAACTTTCCAAAACTTCCTCCAAAAACAATGATTGGACCAAAAATCTTTGAAAAATCACAACTTTTTCAATATAATTCCGATTAAAGCCCATTTTATATGGATGGAAATCTCACGAAGAGTACTTTCAAAATTTGTAAATTTCAGTTACAATAAACGAATTTTTTGATATATAATTTTGAGATAAAAAATCTGCTCTTATGGAGTTTTCCAAAAACTCTTCTCAACATGCCATGATATTCAATAATATTGAATTAAACATGAATAAAGCTAATCTATGGGTAATCATATTACTTGGTACAGAAACGGTTTGGATTGGATGCTTGAATTACGAGTCTCTTCTGAAAAACCCCTCGTCAATTGAGAGCTATTAGAATTTCTCAATATTTATCCACACTCCAAATTCCTAGGCTTTGAAGATGGTAGTCTCAAGATAGATGAATAGAGAGAAAGCCTATGATTTTTGGTGTGTCTACACAATGATGAGCATAAGCCCTTATATAGGCATATATGGCAAATCATGTTTACCATGTGGTTAAGCCACACCATGTGTACCACATGTCCAAGACCATGTGTCCCTCATGGTTAGGTCTTGTATGAATGAACCATGTGTGCCATGTGGCCTTCAAGATTAGGCTACACCATGTGTACTATGAGGCCACACATGTATATTTACCACATGGTTTTCAACAATTAGAAAGCAATGCTTCAGCTAGCACGAAGTTTCAAGTCCCTACAAAAGAATATGACCATAAGAACAGCCTGACCGAGCGTGTTTGGCTAAAGTCAGCATAATTCTTTACTTAGCAAGACAAAGAACATGAACTATTTCTCTATTTTTTATGGAGATTATTTCATACCTCCATTTTACCCTTTGTCCCCCTTTTATAATGTTGAATATCATCGTTTGATCATCTTTCCTTATGAAATTTTCTCTTAGAAATACCACGTTGTTATTCTGGTGTTCATAATTCATCAGAGATTTTGCTCTTCTTATCCTAATGAGCCTAGTTGGTACATGCTTCTCGATCTAAGATCTTGCTTTGGACAGTTTACTATTTTGGAGTTTACACCATAACCTGCCATGTGTGGACCCAACTTTAGTTGAGCACGGAAATTTTAGGGAAAAAATACTCTAGAGGATCTTTGGTGACTTTAGTGAGCAAGGATCCTCTAGAGTTTTTTTTTCCTAAAGTTTCCTAGAGTGGTGTATTGTGTGGTTGAGATTTATCAGTTAGGATTTTTTTACCCACCACTCCAACTTTTTTCTTAGTTTAGAACAAGATCTGTATTTATATTTACTTATATTTTCTACTACATATATATACAAATGAAACACTTCAATCATCTTAGCAATTGTACATACTAGAAAATATTCATACAGAAGATCGAAATTAGCCATCAATGATTTATCTTTTTAGATTAAATTTTTTTTTTTTTTTGGGGTTAATCTCTGCTTTCCAAATCTCTTCTCCTCCACACATTCTTCTATTTGGTAAATTAGTGATTCTAATAATGTAAATGATGTATGTGCTAGATATGATTGCATGGCTTGTCAGTCTTTCTCCACCAGTTTGTGATGATAAAAAGATAAAAGTCAGGATAGGATGTGAACTTTTGAATTATATGATGTGATTCTCATTTTTATTTTTAGTTATTTATTTTTTTTAAGATAGGAATTATATGATGTGAATTTGGTACCAAGGAACTAGGGTTGTGAATTTGAATTGAAGTGATCATAATAGAAATCCATTTCACGAATCTATAGGATGTACAATGAAATTGATTTGTAGCGCAAAATAGGTTGTCAATTGTATGATCAATATTAGATGAAATATCTAAACTATTGATGAAGCGTGTTTGGCTATGAAATTTGTAGATCAAATGGACCGACTTGTAACTAAACAAAGAGAAAGGCACTAGCAAGAATCAAATGGCATGTGTTCAGAATTTTGTGAAATTTGGTGAGTTTTGATGGAAAACGAACATGATCTATTACTTTGGCATGGACCCCAAAAAATTTCGGGTGAATTTCATTGTTTAAACTATCAATTTCAGGATTTTACTCTTTTTGGAAAGGAAAATTTTGGTAACTCAAAATTTTTTGGTTCAAATGGCTCAAATCTGTCAAAACGGCGTCGTTTTACACTCAAAATCTGTCAAAATGACGTCGTTTTTAGTGATTTGAGCCATTTGAGCCACAAAATTTTGAGCTACCTATCATTGTTGTTTTGGAAAATTTTGCAACTTCAATTACTGTTAGTATTCGGTAATTTTCGTTGTATTTTTTTTTTATTTTTTTTATTTCTATCTAGTTAGTTAAGTAACTACTAATTTCACCTAATTTCAGTTGCTTTCTAGTATCATTAGTTCTGCTTTTCATTATAAATAAAAAAAATTAAATTATTGTAAGTCTTAGGGCTAATTAATTTTGAAGATTAATAAAATTTTGAATTTATACTCTTTCAATTTTTGGCATTTGTTTGAAATCAACTCTTGCTAGTTGTTGAACCTTATTCTTGCTATTCTTGTGAATTAATGGGTCAAGAGGAGAATTTTTACTTCGAGCATTCATTCTTCAATTAACGGACTCTAAAATCGTTTTCCTACTTTCTCAATTACACATCTATACTGGTGCATCAAATACCAAATAATAAACACTGATAACACTGTTGAGACTCTCGCATAGTAGGATGAGAAGTTTAATTTTAAAAGTTAGAGGATAACATGTTTTATATTACATAGACATGCAGTTTGGATTTTAATTTTAGATTTGTAGAAATCAATATACTACTAATTTCACCTAATTTCAGTTGCTTTCTAGTATCATTAGTTCTGCTTTTCATTATAAATAAAAAAAATTAAATTATTGTAAGTCTTAGGGCTAATTAATTTTGAAGATTAATAAAATTTTGAATTT